GCTTTTTTTTGTGGCCTAGGATATGATCTATTCTTGGAAATGTTCCATGTACACTTGAGAAGAATGTGTATTCTGCTGCTTTTTGGTGTAGAGTTCTGCAGATATGTGTTAGGTCCATCAGTTCTAATGTGGTCTTTGGAGCCTCTGTCTCCTTACTTATTTTCTTTCTGGTTGATCTGTCCTTCAGAGTGAGTGGAGTGGTGAAGTCTCCTAGAATGAATGCATTGCATTCTATTTCCCCTTTTAATACTGTTAGTATTTGTTTCACATATGTAGGTGCTCCTGTGTTGGGAGCATAGATTTTTATAATGGTTATATCTTCTTGTTGGATTGACCACTTTATCATTATGTAATGCTTTTCTTTGTCTCTTGTGACTTTCTTTGTTTTGAAGTCTATTTTGTCTGATACAAGTACTGCAACTCCTGCTTTTTTCTCCCTATTAGTTGCATGAAATATCTTTTCCCATCCCTTCAGTTTTAGTTTGTGTATGTGTTTGGGTTTGAAGTGAGTCTCTTGTATGCAGCATATAGATGGGTCTTGTTTCTTTATCCATTCAGTGACACTATGTCTTTTGATTAGTGCATTCAGACCATTTACATTTAGCGTGGTTATCATTAGGAATGTACTTACTGCCATTGCTGGCTTTAGATTCATAGTTACCCAAGGTTCAAGGTTAACTTCCTTACTATCTAAGAGTCTACATTAACTCACTTACTATGCTATTACAAACACAATCTAAAAGTTCTTTTTTCTCCTCCTTTTTCTTCCTCCTCCATTCTTCATATATTAGGTATCATATTTTGTACTCTTTGTCTATCCCTTGATTGACTTTGGGGCAATTGATTTAATTTTGCATTTGATTAAAATTAGGTCTTCTACTTTCTTTACTGTGGTTTTACTACCTCTGGGGACAGCTATTAACCCTTAAGAACACTTCCATCTATAGAAATCCCTTCAAAATACACTGTAGTGATCATTTGTGGGAGGTAAATTCTCTCAACTTTTGCTTATCTGGAAATTGTTTAATCCCTCCTTCAAATTTAAATGATAATCTTGCCAGATAAACTATTCTTGGTTTGAGGCTCTTCTGCTTCATTGCCTTAAATATATCATGCCACTCCTTTTTGGCCTGTAAGGTTCCTGTTGAGAAGTCTGATGATAGCCTGATGGGTTTTCCTTTGTATGTGATGTTATTTTTCTCTCTAGTTTCTTTTAATAGTCTTCCTTTATCCTTGATCTTTGCAATTTTAATTATTATATGGCTTGATGTTGTCTTCCTTGGGTCCCTTGTGTTGGGAGATCTGTGTACCTCTATGACCTGAGAGTATATCTTCTTCCCCAGATTGGGAAATTTTCAGCAATTACCTCCTCAATGACACTTTCTATCCCTTTTTCTCTCTCTTCTTCTTCTGGAATCCCTATAATGCAAATATTGTTCTGTTTGGATTGGTCACACAGTTCTCTCAATATTATTTCATTCTTAAATATCCTTTTTTCTATCTGTGCCTCAGCTCCTTTGTATTCCTCTTCTCTAATTTATATTTCATTTATCATCTCCTCCACCACATGTAATCTGCTTTTAAAGCCTTCTATTGTACTGTGTTCCATAATGATTGGATCTCTGACCAGAATTCATTCCTGAGTTCTTGAATATTTTTCTGTACCTCCATGAGCATGTTAATTATTTTTATTTTGAAATCTCTTTCAGGAAGATTCATGAGATCATTTTCATTTGAATCTTTCTCTTGGGTACTCATAATTTAGCTTTGAATCACGTACGTTTGATGTTTCATATTTGTATGTGCCCAGAAGCTCTACTCTCAGGAGCTGCTCAGCCTCTGGAGCAATCCAGGGGTCACAGGAGAGTGGTATTGGTGCCTGGAGGGAGGAAAGAGCTGTTTTCTGCTTCCCAGCTGCTATGCCTGTCTCCGCTGCCAGAACTAGTGGGCTGAGCACACAAGTATAAGCCTCTGTGCTTTGTGTTTATAGCTGCTGTAGGTGGGGCTTCCCTCTGGCTGACCTAATGCCAGGGTAGGTTTGCCAGTTTATAATCCAGGTGGGGCTGGCCAGGAAGAAGGTGCAGCAGGCTGTGTATCACGGAGGAGTATTTTGGACCTGAGTAGTCAGCTAGGGGCTGGAGGGCCTGAAGATTGTGAAAGTTCCAATCCTGCTGGGTGGAGTACACCTGGACAATTTTGTCTACCTGTCCTTTCTCCTGAGCAGTAAGCTCTGTGCAATCCTTGCCCCTTTAGCAGCCCTCTCGCTGTCAGGAAATCTCTCTAACTGCCCACTTTTCTTTTGTCCCAGAGCAGCCAGATATGGACCCCTGCTTTCGACAAGCAGCTGGAATCTCAGTCTCTCCATATATTCTGCCTGCCTTAGCTTTCCAACCCCCCTAATCCTGAGAGCACCATGAAATGTAGGTTTGTGCTCCCAGAGCAGAACTCCAGAGCTAAGTGTTTAGCAGTCCCAGGCCTCCACTCCCTTCCTACTCCATTTCTCTTCATCTAGTTTGTGAGCTGGGGTGGGGGAAGGGCTTGGGTCCCGCTGGGCCATGGCCTTGGTATGTTACCCTGTTCCATGAGGTTTATTCTTTTCTCCAGGTGTAAGCAGTCTGGCACAGCCCTCTTTACTATTGCTCTTTCAGGATTAGTTGTATTAATTATATTTTTATATTATATGCAGTTTTAGGAGGATGCCTCTGTCTCATCTCTCATGCCACCATCTTTAATCCAGTCCCCTCATGTATTTCAACTTATCCATAATTTAATGAATTTTAACTTATTTTCCAGTATTAGTTAATACTGTATGTTTAAATAAATTCTATCTGTATTTGCAGCTGAAAAACCCACAGTAACCTTGTAGAATGCTATAATAATTAGGATACAAATTAAGATGCTATAACAAAGTAAATCTAAACTACAGTGACTTAATGAAGGTGTAAATACATTTTTGTTCCCTCTCACATAAAGGAGTGGGTATGTGATTCAGGGCTGCTGTAGTGGTTCCATCACCCTGCATGCAAAGATTCCATCTTATTGATTTACTGAAATGTGTCTTTTATTTCCAATTTCCAGATGTTTTTCTTCCCACTATGATATCCACATACCAGTTACCAGAAAGGTGGGATAAAAGGATTAAGGCAAAATGTTCTTTCTGTTCCCATTCCATTGGCTAGAACTTATCTACATGTCCATGTCTGGCTGCAAGGTATGTTGAGAAATTCAGTCCTGACTTTGAAATGTATGTGCGCATCTAAAATTCAGGAGGTACGTTGTTAAAAGAGATAATGGATTTAGGGAATGACAGTGTCTAATATATAAATATTGTCTGATTGTCCCATCTCCATCCTTCTACCTGCACCCCCTATTGGTGGTGGTAATTGAAAAAGCTACCAAGATAAATGTTATATTCAGATATAAATAGCCAGAACTGTGCTCCATCTCCCCTTACCCTGCTATGATTTTTGAAGATTCCCTCATTTTAATTGTCTTTTGACCTTGTAGAAGGAAAAGCTAGCACATACAAAATTCTGATGAAGTCATTTTGTGTTTCCTTGGCTTCAAATATGTATGGAAATACTTCTATCTGACAGTACTTGGTTCTGTTCATCTAGCCTGGTTTCTTTGCATTATTTGAGATCTCAAATATACTGAAGATGGAGATTAGGCTCACAGGGGCTGTAGTCAAGTTAATGGATATAAAAGCTCGAGAAAGGAGCAGCAGAGACAGCATGGATAACAGCCTTGAAGAAAGGAAACCCATATTTAGCTCCTGATGAAACACCAGGGGGGGCCTCATGTATTGCCAAAATACTTGAAAGCAAAGCTTTGTATTACAGGAAGAAGATGATGCTTCACTGGCTGAATTAAGGTCTGGTCTTCCTAAAGCTGCATTAAAGTCTTTGACTGGATTTCCCCAGAGTCTGAGCCTGAGTCAAGGATTAGAGTGTCAATGGTTTACTTGTGAGGTATTCTCCAGAAGCACTAGTAGGGAAGTGGAGAAATGCAACAAGGAAGGTAAGTTGACAAGTAGAAGATTCTCAAGCAAAGCACTATATTATGGAATTCAGAGAGGCAGTAGATTCCACAAGCACTTCTGATTCCCACACTCTTGGGAAGAGTTGGCTCTGACCCGCAGAGGAGTCTGTCTGGCAAGGAGTTAGATGCTGGCAACTGGAAGTAAGCCTAGTGTGCATACTGGGCTAAGCCTGTGGTAATATAAGTACATCATGCAACTATGGTGCAAGAGAACTTGGTATCTTCTTTAGTATGTACAGTTGAGAGTACAATTGAAAATATTTAGTGTATGTAAAAATCTTTCAGTGATTGAGACTCTTTCAGACAATTATAAAAATAATGAAAACTACTACTTTTTTTATTAACTTCTCTGCAGCTCCTATAATTGCTAAGCGTTTCTCATATTTTTATAATTTGTTTTAAAAAAAGAGAAACTGAAAGACCAAGGAACAAACAAACTAACTAACAGACTTCTAACATTTTCTCAAAGTTTTAATTCCAAAGACGTTTTGCTGGGATGGTCCTGGGATTAGGAATAAAAAAATATTAATATAGTGTTCCTTTCATCTTGGAGGTTCAGTTTAGTGCAATAAAGTGTATTGAAGTAGCTATCTTTGGGCTCCATTTATAAAATTCTACAAAGTTACATTAGAGATTTGGGCAATTCTGGTATTTATCTAGTGTAGAATTTCTAAACTCAATAAAAATATCATATATGGTATGTTCTCCATATTGTTGGTTTATTTGCTTGGCAAACTTTGAAGATTTGATGAAATGTAATTTTTTAGAATAGGTCTTCCATGTTGTTTAACAAGAAATCTTCATCTGTACAGTAACCTTTGTTAATGAATTAAGGAAAATATCTTTCTCAAACACTATCAAATATAAAAAGACAGGTTAAGTCAGCTGCTCTGTGGCCTGCACCTGCCGGGAGCAACAGGGACATCGCTGGGTGACCCAGAAGCTGGCCAGCAGATTCTATGAGTTTTGAAGATGTAGCTATAAACTTCAGCCTGGAGGAGGGGACACTGATGGATCCTTCTCAGAAGAAATTTTACAGATATGTGATACGGGAAACACTGAGGAACCTGGCTTCAATAGGGAAAAAATGGAAAGACTGTAGCATTGAAGATCAGTACAAAAAGCAGGGAAGAAGTCAGAAAAGTCGTATAGTAGAGAGACTCCGTGAAAGTAAAGAAAGTAGTCAACATGGAGAAAATTTCAGCCAGATTCCAAATCATGATTTAAACAAGAAAACTTCTGAAGTAGTAAAACCATGGGAGTGCAGTATGTGTGGAAAAGTCTTCATGCAGCATTCATCCCTTAATAGGCACAAAAGATCTCACACTTTGCCCAAACCATACAAGTATCAAGAATATGGAAATAAGCCTTCTAAGTGTAAGTAATGTGGGAAAGCCTTCAGTTATCTCTAGCCTTTTCAAAAACATGAAAGAAATCACAGTATAGAGAAATCCTACAAATGTAAGGAATGTAGGAAATCTTTAAGGTATTGCCAATCTGTTAGAAAAGAGGAAGTTTATCACCTCTCTATCCTTTCACTTTCATGCAGCCCACACACCCCTCCCTTGTGGCAACCATGAGTCCATTATCTGTGTTTCCAAGTCTATTTCTGTTTTGTTTTGTTTTGTTTTTCATATTCCACATATCAATGAAATCATATGGCATTTGTCTTTTCTGTCTGGCTAATGTCACTTAGCATAATATCTTCTAGGTGCATCCATGTTGTTGCAAATGGCAATATTTCATTCTTTCTTATGGCTGAGTAATTTTCCATTGCATATATATATCACACCTTCTTTATCTATACACCTAATGATGGACTGTTAGGTTGTGTCCATATCTTAGCTGTTATAAATAATGCTACAATAAACATGTATCTTTTCAAATTAGTGATTCTTTTCTTCAGGTCAATTCCCAATGGACCTCTATTTTTATTTTTTCCATAATAGCAGCAACAATTTACATTCCCACCAACAGTGTATGAAGGGTCCTTTCTCTCCACATCCTTGCCAAGCCTTGTCATTTCTTGTTTTTGTTTTTGTTTTATATTAGCCAGCCTGACTGGGATGAGGTGATATCTCATTGTGGTTTTGATTTGCATTTCCTGATAATTAGTGACACTGAGCATCTTTTCATGCATCTGTTGACCATCAGTATGTCTTAGTCATGGGGATGAGAGTCCTGAACAGGTATAGTATAAGTATAGCCAATACTATTGTAATGTCTTTCTATGTTGACAGGTGGTAACTATACTCATGGTGAATATTTAGTAATGTATATAACTACCAGATCACTATATTGTACATCTAAAACCAATATAATATTATATATCAATGATATTTCAATCAAAAAATTAAAATTAAAACAAAAATTATGCAACTATTGGGATGAAATTTGGTTAAAAATACAAATAAAGCAAAACCAACCTAATAAATAAATATATAATAAATAAGTAAATCAATAAAGAAAAGTATGCCACTGAAGCCTTTTGCTTTTACACACATACATCTGGTATTTTCCTTGAATTACGTATATAATTGGTCATTATCAGGTTAGTCATTATCTAAGAAAGTCTCCATTATAATAATCAGTTTGGTCTTGATAATAAAAATGTCATTATTATATAGGACCAACTTGTATTGAAAAGTAGTATATAACCAAATGACCTTTTTTCAATTATAGCTTTTACTTATGTACTTAATATGAATATATTTTTGTAGCTCGTTGCTTTCTATGACTTCAACAAGGATTTGTTTCATTTATCCTTTGAAGAACAACTTCCATTCACTCTTTTGAATATTGTCTGTGGGAGAGAATTTTTCAGAGTTTCTGTATATCTAAAAAGTCCTTATTTCATTCTAACATTTGGATAATGTTTTTTTCACAAAAGTTTAGATGCAAACTTATGCTACCCTAGTATTTTTAAGATTATAGCACTGTTTTCTTGCAAATGATGTACTTAATTATGAGCAATTTGGCATTCACATTGATTGAAAGCAATATATGTTCTCTCCCTGATAACCTTGAGAATTTATCTTTAACCTTGATGTTCACAAGAGACTGTGTAGCTTAGATCTGAACTTCTACTATAGCATGTTCTGCCCAACATCAGACATCCCATCTGAGTAACTTGTTTCTCTGTGCATTTCTGGAATATTTCACTCAATATTTTTAAAAAATACTGCCCATTTCTATTGTCTTTATTGTCTCATTCTGGAACTTCAAGTGGTTGAACATTGGCATTTCTCTATGTTATTTAATTCTTTTTTATATTTATGTTTTTATGCTATGTTCTTGAAGGTTTTCTTAATTCAACTTTTCAGTTCACTCATCTTCTGTCCAGCTATATTAGTCTGTTGTTTATTCCATTAGTTTTGTTGTTAGAACCTTTTTATTTTGTAATATATAACACATAGTACAGAAAACCTATAAGTATTTGTAATTTTTAAAAATACATTGAATACATGATACACTTAAAATTCCACTTAAGAAAGAGTATTGTAATAGTTTCTTTGGGGTCCTCTTGTTTAAACATAAAGTTACTTCCACATATATGTAGTTTTATTTCTCTTTGAATTTCAGATAAATACAATAGCTTACTTATTCTTCTGAGACTTGCCTCTTTATTCATTCTTTTTTATGTATTTTATTTTATGAAATCACAAGTATTTATTCACTTGTTTATTCTAACATTGAAAGCTGCACTAGTTATTTTGTTTTTATGAATAATGTTGCTATAAGCATTCTTGACTATTTCTACAGCAGCACACATACAAGAGTTTCCCAGTACAGTGAACCAGAATTAGAAGAGTGGAATTCCTGATTTGTCAGGTATGTACTTTGCCATATTTGCTAGACATTTCCAGAGAAGTTTCTAAAAGGATTGTCCCTATTTAAACTTCTGCTAGTACTATACATATAGTACAGTCATATAGACATATTCTATAGTCTTACAAACATGTATTTTCCAATGTTTAAATTGTGTTAGCAAGACGTGTTTGTGTGTGTGTGTGTCTGTGTGTGTATTTGTTTATGTGTTTTGAACATATACTTTCCATGTTTTGTTTTGATTTACCTCATTATCAAAGCAATTGCACCTTTCATAATTATATAGGACTTTTCCTTTTGTTTCTTCTGGAAACATCTTTTTTCTAGTCTTTTGCCCAATATTCTGTGGAATTGTTTGTTGGTGTCTTTCCTATTTTTGGTGGGATAATTTTTATAGTCTGGATACTTTATTATATTTGTTTTGGGTATTTTTACCTTCTTTATGTTGCTGTTTTATAAGGTTCAAATTTTAATGTTAATAAAGATGAGTTTATAAATGTTTTATTTTATGATTCATGTTGTATCTTAAGAAAAATTTGCTACTTTCATAAAAAAATTGAAAATATTTTAAGTGGAAAATGTGTTTAACATATCTAACCTACTGAATTTCATAGCTTAGTCTCACCTATCTTAAATATTCTTAGAACACTTAGATTAGCTTAAAGTTGGGCAAAATCTTTTTGGGAGCTTAGGCTCACAGCCACCGAGCATGTTGAGAGAGGATCATACAGCACATCATTAGCCTGGGAAAAGACCAAAGATTGAAGGATGATTTCTGCTGAATGTGTGTCACTTTTACAAGATTGTAAAGTTGAAAAATTGAGCCATTGTAAGACAGGGACCATCTGTATGTCTTTCCATTTTTTCCCCTGAATTTAAAACTTAAATCTGTCTTAGCCAAGTATATCTTTCATCTATATGAAATTGATTTGGCATATGTGAGCTTTAATTATTTTATATTTCATATTATGCTGCTTCCTTAACAGCATCTTGGTATGTGCTTAGTTATTAGCCTTTCCAAACAGGTTTTACTTTCAGCTTGACAAAATCCAAATTTATTGGGATATGTGTTTAATATACAGGTCAGTCTAGGATTGAGCTCTTTCTATACTGATATCTTTCTATATTAGATCATCTTACTCAAGAACATGGTATATCTCTACACTTATTTCCTTAAATTCTTTCAAAAAAGTTTATCTCTAATTAATTTACATTTTAAATAATTTACTTTTTAAAGAGTTCTTAGGTTTTTTTCCTTTGTTAACGTATAATATTTATATTTAAAAAATGTATTTTTTGTAATTAAGGTATCATTGAAATATAATCTTATGGAGGTTTCACATGAACAACATTGTGGTTTCAGCATTCACCCATATTGTCAAGGCTCCCCCGACCCCATTGCAATCACTATCCATCAGTGTAGTAAGATGATATGGAATCATTACTTGTCTTCTCTGTACTATACTTCCTTCCCAATGACCTACCTATGCTGTGTGGTAATTATAATGCCCCTTAATCCCCTTCTCCCTCCCTCCTCACCCAACCTCCCCACCCCTTCCCTTTGGTAACCACTAGTTACTTCTTGGAGTTGTGAGTCTGCTGCTGTTTGGTTCCTTTAGTTTTGTTTGGTTGTTATACTCTACAAATGAGTGAAGTCATTTGGTACTTGTCTTTCTCCACCTGGCTTATAAAAAATGTGAGTATCTTAACCATAAATTTTGATAAAATTTACAGATTGTACATGTTCACATACAGACTCCCAATCAAGAAACAGACCTCAACCAGCACCAAAAAAGCCCTGTGCAAATTCCTTCTAATAATAACCTTTCCAAAGTAAAATTAATTCTCTTAATTCTAAGAATATAAATTAGTTTTTTCTTTTTTGTATCTTACAGAAATGGACTAGATGGTATGTTTAAAATTTTTTATTCTAATTGTTATTTATAGACTTCTATAAGCAAACAATTGTTTTTATAAATAGTCATGCAAAATTTTTCTAATTATATTTAAAAATCTATAGATATCTTTAGTATTCTTTTGTAGAATGTCAAATCGTGTACAAAGAAAATCTTGGTCTTTATATTCCAGAAGTAATCAAGCAATCAGTCTTTTTTGTCTTACTGTTTAGTCCATGACCTGCATATATTCAATAGAAACAGTAAAAGTGGGTATCCTTTTTGTTACTCAATTTAAAGAAAATATATTTCACATGTTAGCTTTAGGAATAACTTTCGATGAATGGAAATATGTAATGATCAGGAAATTCTCCTCTAATTCAGGATTGCTATATTTTAAAATCATAAATGAATTTTGAGCCTTCTTGAAAAGTTTCTGCAACTATTGCAATGATCACATTTTTCTGTTAATCTTATCATGTGATAAGTGTAGCTTTGTCATGATTGATTATTTTGGATGCTTTTGTGGATTCACTGCATGAATATTGTATATAGTATTCCAGCATTTTTTTTCCATAATGAAGTTAAAATGTAATTTCCCTTTTTATATGGCTGTAACTCCAGGGGGAAATATTTTCCTAGCCTGGGGCAAAATACCTTTGAACTGAAATCAGTTGAAGTGACAAAATTGGAGAAACCCATTTATTGCCTACAAGCAGTCGT